TAGCCCCCTGCCCCTCTCGCCTAGGGTGAGCAGACGTCCTGATAAAATTGGGACCATCCCGATATTTAGGTGTTTGTCCCGCGTCCCGACCGGTCTTTAGTCAGGACACAATTTGTCCCGATATTTCGCTCCGCCAGCAGCACTGGCTTGTTGGTTTTTTTGCTCCGTTGGCAGCACTCGGCTTTTTTTTTTTTTTTCCCCCCCGGGGGCCACCCCCCCCCCCCCCGTGTCCCGATATTTTCTTCCTCTCATCTGGTCACCCTACCCTCGCCCCAGAGCCCAGGGATCCAGAGGGACAAACAGCCTGATGCTCGGTCCCAGGCTTGCATGGAGTTTCCTGTGCTGCCCTTTCCTTCCCACAGGGCGTTCTGAGAACTGCAGCGGTCAAGAACCCTTTAGCTCCCTCCCCATCCCCCTGGCAGTGCCTTCAGTGTGCAAGCTGGGCTCTGTGGCCAGCAGCACTGCAGCCCATTTCTGTGAGGGAGAAAAAATTCTGCGTGCACAATGTTAATTTCTGCATAATTTTGCATTGCACAGTGGCGCAGAATTCCCCCAAGAGCAACATATACACTGAGGGGAAAGAAAGATGGAGATCTACACAAAGAGGAGTCCTCCCCCTGATGTGTTGCCTCATGTAGAAGATCAACTAAAATGCAAAATAATGAACTAAATAAAGGGGAAGAGAAGTGAACCAGGCCAACTCCTGATGTTCTTACTCAACTTCTATGTAATCCTTACTTAGGCAAACTCCTACTGACTGCAACGGGAATTTGATTGAATAAAGCTCGAGTCAAGACCTCAGGACCTGACCCATTGGAATGAACATAGCAGGGGATATACTGTATTGTCCTGCAAAGCTCCTTGTGTTCTGAGAGAGCATGTTGACTGCTCAGGGCAGCATAGTGCTAAAAAACAGTTACCAGGTAGTCAATCTGGATAGCCTCTCGGAGACATTCTTCAGCCTTAGAGAAGTCCTTCTTGAGCAAGTGTGTTTGTGCCAGCACTAGGTAATACTCACAGCTGGGTCCTTCCTGCTGGCACAGTAGCTCATGTGCTAGCGCCCTGTGAACAAACTGAAAGAGAAAGCCACACACAGGCATTGTAACGAAACTAACACCAGCTGTGAACATCCCAACCCCTGTTCTGTTCCCAGCATGGAGAAAAGGGATAACGTGCAGCCTCCTCTGTGACAGACAACCAGAATGCTCACCATGCACTGTATGTATCGGAACACACAGGTAATGTCTCAAAATTACTTTACATGTTCCCTCAAGGCATCCTTTGATTTAATGAGAGGGTGTCTCATTAGCAGTTCAAACACTGGACGGGTACATTTTTTCCTTTGAAATTTTAGCTTCAGTTGCTTTTAGTTGTCTTTGTTTGCTGTTAACACTCAGCAAATTTCCATCGCTTCTCTGTCAAGTTAATGTCATACAGCACGCTGTGGAAGTCACTGCATTCGAGGAGGCCCCTGTCAATACAGGCTAGGAGATAGTGGGGACAGAACTGAAAGAAAAGTTGCCAGACAAGAGGAGCTTGGAGTGCTGTTATGAAGGCAGCTTGTCCCTCGGACAACCCTCCAGTGGTTGCTCAGAGAGTAGCTCTGATCTAATGGACAAAGGTTGTCCAATGGACTGATACTGGTGCTGCTGGTCTTAACTTGAAAGGAGGATGAATGTGTGAGAGAGACAGAACCTGGATGAGGGGATGTGGGGAACATACAAGCTGGCATTGGGACTGAGGAGGAGGTCTGGGCAGTGAGTCTCCCAGGTGCCTCCATGGCCTCCCACTGCACACCTTTTCCTAGGGCTTCTGTTTGTATATTGGTTTGGAAAGTGTTTTGTGCTCCTTTGGGATATTACCATTGTATGATTTTAATGCATGAGGCAATATGGTAAGAAAACATTGAATTGGGTACCTAAGAGAGGAAAGAGAAACAAGGAAGGCAAAGGAAGAACTGGCAGAAGAGAGTGACAGAAGATAGTGAATGTACTGGCATCACCTGGGAAGAAATACCACAAGTAGAGAGTGACCATAATCAAAGGAGGAACTAGACTGCCCAATGCATCAGTGGTAGAGGAGTACTAAGGTCAAAGATGTATGCTTATCAGCACCAGCGCTCCAAGCGCATGCCTGGGGCAGCAATCCACAGAGGGTGCCCTACTGGTCCCTGCGAGGGCGGCAGTCAGGCCGCTTTCGGCGGCATGCCTGCGGGAGGTCTGCCAGGCCCGCAGATTCGGTGGCAATTCGGCGGCGGGTACGCTGAATCCGCGGGACTGGCGGACCTCCCGCAGGCATGCCACCGAATCCACAGGACCGGGGACCTCCAGCAGGCAAGCCGCCGAAGTCAGCCTGCCTGCCGTGCTTGGGGCGGCAAAAAAGCTAGAGCCGCCCCTGATGCTTATACATCAGAACGATGTGGACAGGTGAAAGTCTATGGAACAATATATGTGCTGGGAGTCCTCTTCACAACTCTTTTAGGGAGAAGTTATTCTGTACTCCTAGGATTAAATGATGCATTGTAACGTATGGTGGCTATTGTGAAATCCAAGGTCACAGGGAGAGTTCCATTTGATGAAACCCACAAGGAGCCATTGTTTTGGAAGGGAGGCACTCCACATGCATATGAAAGGTTACTCTGATGCACACAGAAGTGCGTGGATGGCTATTCTGATTCAAGAAGTGACCACCTGGTCTGTAGGATGCATCAAAATAATAGGTATTTCCTGTCAAAACTATCCTTGAAACGGCTCTTTTATGGACAAAAATTGGATTACTTGTTCTTCCTGCAACAAACCAGTGGTGGATTTGAACACTCCTATTACTTTGCCTAGCTAAGGTTATTTTTGATGCATCTTAGGATCATTTCAGTTCTGAATTCTCTAAACAGCCATATCTTGGCAGCACTTGACAATAATGTTGACTTGACTGATGTTCGATGAGTTGAGCTGCATAGCCCACTCTTTAAACCCATAAGAACATCCTACTGGAAGCTGCCATGATCTCACTATTTTAATACCACAGGGAAGTAACTGTCACCCATGGAAATGAGTTCAAAATCCTAATGCCACCTTCCTTCCCCAGTTCATGCTGCACTGACCTGTAGAGCATTGACCTCCATCAAGAAGTGTATGGTCTCCATGAAGATTGTGTGGGAGGGCTGTGAAAGTCCAGAAAGGGGGACAAGGGCCACCGCATGTGATGGATCAAGTGCTCCTCCACTAGTTTTCTTCATTACTGAAATAATAGCGAGAGAGGCTCATGGATGCTGAAAAGACCAGAGGTTCAGAATAACAGTGATAATCCAAAACCATATCATGTATTTGTTTATTATGTGAGCAGGATAAGCCATAGCTGACCTTAACTAGTCATTTCTTTGATTTTTTTAAGTGCTTAAGTTTTGATAAATGATGCAAAAGGAAGCTACACTATTGTCACAAAGGGTATGTCTACTACAATTAAAAACCTGGGGCTGGCCCATGACAGGGTCATGACTCAGGATTGTGGGGCTTGGTTCAGGGGCTGTTTAATTGCAGTGTAGATAGTCGGGCTCTGGCTGGACCGTCTACAAGAAAATCCACTTAGCTGAAGATTCCTAACCTGGGTTGGAGAGCAAACCTTGCTGCTTTGTACCCTATCCTGATGAATTGACAAGCAAGTTAGCTTTTACGGACTATCTCCTGTATTATCTGTACTTAATCTCACCCCGTCTTCGCCACTGGTTGCAGTGAAGTCCCAACCCTCTGCCCCAGCACTGAAATCCCCCCCTCTCTCTAAGCCACAGACCCCACTTTCTAACCTTTCTGGGACGTCTCCTTGTTCTTACTGAGGGTGGGGGAAAGTTTCTTGGTCAGTTTAACTGCAGGATCATCTTCTGGCAGCTGGATGGTTACAACAGGCTCTACAGAATCTGGCTGTACTTTCGGGAAGCCATCTGGAGCCTCATCTGGAACTAAACCCCACAATGGATTAAGTGCAATGAAAAGTTCTCCATAAATTGGTCACTTCTTAGCAAGACGCTGTACCTGAGAGAACTCAGAAAATTGCAGAACTAGCCCAGTCCCAGGTCTGCTGGGAAAATACTGCGCTGGATGCAAATCCCTGGGAATGGATTTTTGGTTATGTTAATACCTTGCAAAGTTATAATGAAGTATCAATAAGGCCCTGTCTTCACTGGCAAGTTTCTGCTCAGTAAAGCAGCTTTCTGCGTTGTAACTCCCAAGTTGTACACACTGTCAAGCCACTTAGTGTGCAGAAACTGCACAGTTGCAGCGCTATTAAAAAAAAACACCCCGACGAGAGCTGTAGAGCTTTCTGTGCTGGGGCTACAGCGCTGCGGTGCCAGTGTAGACACCATGGCAATTACAGCACTGCAATTGGCCTCTGGGAGGTGTCCCACAATGCCTGTTCTCACCTCTGGTCATCGGTTTGAACTCTACTGCCCTTCCCTTAGGTGACCAACCGTCAACCCCAACCCGTACATTCCTTTGCAAATTTGAAAGTCCCCTTCCTGTTTGCTTGGTGATGCATACAGTGGTCTCAGCGCATCTTTCCAGGTGGCCATGCCTGCTCCACGCACCAGGCGATCCCCTGCTTTGACAATGCTGAGCTACTAGACCTCATCGGCATTTGGGGAGAGGAAGCTGTGCAGTCCCAGCTGCGCTTCAGCCGTAGGAATTATGATACCTAAGGACAGGTTTCACGATGCATGATAGAAAGGGGCCATGACCGGGACACACTGCAGTATAGGTAAAAGTGAAGGAGCTCCAGAATGCCTGCCACAAGGCCCGGGAGGCAAACCGCCACTCTGGTGCTGTGCCCACAAGCTGCCGGTTCTATAAAGAGCTGGACGCGATACTCGGTGGCGACCCCACCTCCACTTCAAAGGTCCCTGTGGATACTTTGTTGGCTCACGTGGCAGTCGAGAGTGGACCGAGCCAGGAGGAGGAAATCTTGGACGAAGAGGGTGAGGGGGACCCAGAGGCAGAAGATGACTCAGAGGCCAGAGATGCATGAAGTCAGGAGTTCTTTTCTACCCCAGAAGAGCCTAGACAGTCACAGCAGTCGGAGCTTGGCAAAGCGCAAACAGGAGAGGAGGCCCCTGGTAAGTGGATCTGATTTGGGGAATTGATGAAGCGAGTTGTTGGGGGCAGGAGGGTTGCAGGAAGCAGGCTTGTCTCCCACCGCATGCCTAATCGGAGTGCCAGAACAGGCTGTTGATAGACTCCCTCACTTCACGAGAATCTCCCTCAGAGATCTCCAGGAAACTCTCATGGAGATACTGGGCAATCCACTGCCGCAGGCAGGGCCGGCTTTAGCAAGAGCGGGGCCCGATTCCTGGGGGCGGGGCTTGCTGCAAGCCCC